AGACACCCCAAGAAAACCTTCTGGGTCAGCCGGCGCCAGTGGCTCACACCTGTAATCCTAGCTACTCAGGAGGCTGAGATCTGAGGATCATGGTTCAAAGCCAGCCTGGGCAAGAAACTCCGTGAAACTCTTATCTCCAATAAACCACCAGAAAACCAGAAGTGGCACTGTAGCTCAAGTGGTAGAGTGCTAGCCTTGAGCTAAAGAGCTGAGGGACAGCGCCCAGGCCCAGAGTTCAAGCCCCATGACCGACAAAAAAATAAACAAATAAAACCTTCTGGGTTAAAAAAAAAAACAAGCAAATGCCATAAATGTACCGAATTAGACAAGTCTTTAGCCCCTACCCTCATCATATTAACTCACTGTTTCAGTGATGCATTTATGGCTTGAGAAGAACGCTGTGTCACTATCAGAAGTGATAGTGTCTAGGAAGACCTGCCCTCTGAAAAGCAGTGGAACAGATAAGTGCTAATATAGTTTCATTTCCTTCAAATGACCATCCCTAGATGGTGAAGAAGTGACTGAGGAGCACGGGGACTGAAAAAGCAAGGAGAACCCACCAAACAACCCAGTTTCCTACACTCCTCCCTCCTACTCAGGCCATCTGTAAATTGCTAGCATCTATCTACTCCAGGATCAGCGAACATTTGCTGAACACATATCACATACCATTGCTGGGCTTTATGAGACATACATCACCTAACCCTCCCATCATCCATCCATTGTATGCAGCAATGATTGATCCCTATTTTAGACAGAGTAGATCTTCCTGCTATCTTGAAGTAGGGAAATAAACCTCTGCAAAAAGTCGAACAGTGGATAACCTACCTACCTCCTTCTAGGCCGGAACAAGTCATTGGAGGAGTGGCCCAGTTCATGAATCTGCCACCAGGGGTCGCCCAAAGCATTGAAAGGGTATCTGAGGCAAAACCATGGTGTTTTTTTTTGTTTTTTTTTGTTTGTTTTTTTTTACTGAGGAAGGACCTAGATTTGTGAGAAGTGGGAGCCCTCCCCTTGTGTTATTAGAGAGACTTCTCACGTAAAAGACGTAGATTCCTTTGCTCCTTCTGGAGTATTTAGAATTCATTTATCCATTCATTTTTGATCATTAGTTCTTGTTGTAGTATTCTGACCTATCAATCATTAATAAAGGTTAATTTTCTTCTTAATTATATGGTTTTTTCTTAATATAAATGTTTATTGGTAGGGTATTATTCATTTTCTAGGATCTTAGCTCCCATGTTACCTCATAATCAGATATCTTCTTTGGGTATTAACTGTGGTGTCCCTCCTTCCTACATAGCCCATCTATGTAGTTACTTGTTTAATGTCTGTCTTACAATAGGTAATTAAAAATCTGGGGAAATGAACATTTCTATGGCTATCTGTAGGATTCAGATTACTGAGAGTGGGGGGATTTAAAAATATATATAAAAACTTTAGTTAAGAATAATTACTCTGTTGATAATAAACAATTAAGAAAAAATTAAACTTGAAAAAGTTAATGCACAGATTATGCTTGTTTGTATACACTTTGAATCATAGCTAGGATGCAATTAACGTTTTGCAACATTCACTTAACCCCAAGATTCTCTTTTTATGTGTTTTTGTTCAAAATGTGTAAGGTAAGGGCTGGGTCCACTGGATTATCAAAATTGAGGACTTAGTATACTGCCCTTGAGGACTGTCCAGAATAAACATTACATCATTATTGTGACATAATTAGAACCAACTATCACAACCTCATGGCATGATGGCATAAGTCATATTGACATTGAAAGTCTTCATGTTATCCATGAACTCCTGAGTATTTAGCATTAATCACGTATATCTTCATATCTGGTACTGGACTTGGATGTTTGCAAATGAGGGTGGCATGCATTCTCTAGCTACTTGATTCATCCAAGATCAAAGACTCTGATGTATGATGAGGGTGGGGGTGGGGAGGGAAAACCAGGCTGCCTCAAGGGCCATGAAACTCATTCACCTTCTTCAGGAAAAAGCACCTGATAAGGAGCCAGGTCAGCTGAGGTTGACGGCATGCACATGTGTGCTCTTATTATTCCAGCATTCCAAGAATGCAGAGTCCTAAGCTTTATAATTGCCTAAGAAAGGTGTTTGCCATGGGGATGTTTGTAGTGTGGCCTCTCCCACTAATTTTTTTTTTCTTTTTTCTCAAGAGCCCAAAGATTCCTTTCCTCCTGTCAGGTCACAGGAAGGGACATGGAAAGCCAGGGGAAAATAAGGAGGTGGGTGAAGACCAGAGGCCATGGGCATCCTAAAGGGTAAACACAATCTGTCTACCTCACAGATTCTCAGTCCTCCAGACACATGAGAACTCTTAGGAGCTTTTGAGAAAGGTGGAGGGCTCCTGCTCCTACTCCAAGCCATAGGAATTACAGTTGTTGGGGTTTATGCCCATGCAGAAGTATTTGTCAAAAAGACAAAAAGCTCTCCACATTGTTTCAATAAGTAGCTGAACTAGAAAATTACTAACTCACCGCAGCTCACCGTGGCCCTAGAAGTTCAAGTGGGGGCCTGGCTGTTCCTTGGAACCATTGAACTCCAGCATCTCACCCTCCCTGGAAGGTAAGAGGAACAGGGATTACTTCCTTCTGGTACCCATAGTTTTTCTACTTTCTAGTATTTGGAATTCGGCCTCATGGCTGAGTGTATATAAATAGAAGGTGGTCCTGGTACTTGGCATTAAATAACACTAGAGGATCTAGAGGAAAACACTACATGAATATTCAAACAAAACACACATCAGGGCTCCTGGCAGGTTGACATAAAACTGGTTATTCTTGTTATAGCATGATTTCATGCACACTTTTAAAACAGTGTCTAAGAGAGGCTGTGAGGTAGGGATCAGAAGCCATTTGTCAGCTTAGGAAACTTAAGTTGGAAGAAACAGAGGACCCGGATGTCATGACGGTTATGTGACCAAGCAGAGCAACAACATGCCTGGATCCCATGTCTAGAGCCCAACGGCTCTGAAAGACTGTCTTTAGTGGTTCTTACTTTGATGTATCAGGCAAGACCTGCTCAATCACATGAGTAGTTCATGTGACTTATTTACTTAAACAGTGAATCGGGAGAACTGAATAGTGAAGACGTGACTGAGGAGCATGGGAACTGAAAAGCAAGGAAAACCCACCAAACAACCCATTTTCCTACACTCCCATTCCCTACTCAGGCCATCTGTAAATTGCTAGCATCTATTCACTCCAGTATCAGCAAACATTGCTGAACACATATCACAAACCATTGCTGGGCTTTCTGAGAAGTAAATCACCTAATCCTCCCATCATCCATCCATTGTATGCAGCAATGATTGATCCCTACTTTACAGTTTAGTGAAGTGAGGCCCAGAGAGCTTCTGCAGCTGCATGTACTCACCCAGCTTGGGGCCACTAAAGTTTAGGATTAAATTCAAATGGTGTGTGAGGTCCTGCTCAACTCTTAACTCCTGATGCTGTTGCCAATGCTTGAAGTTACAAGCATTGATTGGAAGACCTGGTATGTGGACCTGTGATCTTACTGTTTCTACCTGCTTTCTTTTTCTTGTTGTTGCTGCGGTGTGTACACTAAATATTTATCTATTCATGCATTTATTTATTCATTTATTTGTAATCATGTTGATGAACATGATTACATGTTCTTTGGGTAGTTTCCATTTTTTTAAATTTTATTTTCTTGTGAAGATGCTACACAGAGAGGTTACAGTTACATCAGTAAGGTAATGAGTACTTGTGGGGCATTGTTACCCTTCTTTGTTTTTCTCCCACTATCCTTTCCCTCCCCTACCTCCCCTAACCCCCCAAAGTTGTAAGGTCCATTTCCAACATAGTGTCTTGTGAGTCTCATTGTTGTAATGGGTCATCCTGTGACCTTGTTTCAACATTTTCTTATTCCCCTTCTCCTCCCCAACTTAGATAAATGCACATATAAGATGCAAGGTACCAAAATCAAATACAGTGACAACAGGGATTTACCATAGGAGGAAGAATATACAAAAGGAACAAAAACTCACACAGTACATTAAAAACAACAATAAAGAAAAACTTCTTATGTCCATATCTTTGGGTTCATTTCGCTTAGCATCATCTCATATGGTCATATGTACATAGCTTTGAGCTTTTCTGCTCATCTGATAAGATTATCCTAGACACATACCAATTATTGCAAACAAGGGAAACCATGGGACCTATATTTCTTTGGGTCTGGCTTACTTCACTTTATATGATTTTTTTCAAGGCTTTCTATTTCCTAATAAATGGGGCAGTGTCATTCTTTCTGATCCAACTTTTCCCCCTCTTCAGGCTTGAACTCTAGGACTGGGCACTGCCCCTGAGCTTCTTTTTGCTCAAGGCTAGCACGCTCCCACTTGATCCACATTGCCACTTAGGGTTTTTTTCTGGGTAGTTTATCCGAGATAAGAATCTCATCAACTTCCTACCTGGTCTGGTTTCAAACTGCAATTCTCAGATCTCATCCTCCTGAGTAGTTAGGATTACAGGCGTGAGCCGCTCGTACCTGGCTTCCAATGTTTATTTTTCAAAATTACCACGAACATACTTATGCAAGACTTCTAGGACACATATTTGAGAATATTTCTACAAATATACTTAAAAAGTGTGATAGTCATTCATACTTTATTGTGCTTTTATTATAAAGTAACCGTTGGTCCACATTCATTAGTTATGTCATCGAACGTTCTAGTGCTTAGAAGTGATCACCAGAATGGCCTCTCACAGCAAGGCTGCTGTCCAGACCATGCTGGGCCCACCAGCACCCTAGGCCCACCAGCACCCTAGGCCCTCATTGCCTGTGGTGCTTGTCTTCCAGGTTCTTGGGTATGGCCTCCACCTGAGTTAGTCTCCCCTCCTCCCATGGCCTTCTCACCTTGTGTTGGAAGGTGGAGCCCAGCCACAAGGATCTCAGTAACACCTGCCATCAGTGCACACGTTGATTATCACTGGTTCCTCTATTCCCTCTAGATACAGCCAGATGATGCTCCAGTTGTGCTTTGGCTTCAGGGAGGCCCAGGAGGTTCATCCATGTTTGGACTCTTTGTGGAGCATGGACCTTATCTTGTCACCAGGAACATGACCGGTAAGTGTTGTTTGGATTGTGCTTCCTGGGCAGAGTATTTTGCCTGGATCTTTTGTCTGGTTCCAAAACTAATTCAGAGTGAATTCTGAACCATTGGGAATAGCTTGAGAGTTCCAGATTATAAAAACACAAATCTCTGGCAATGTGTATCTAAGAAGGAGGAGCTACACGAATGAATTTCTAGCCTGGTTTAACTTTCTTCCTTGAAATTTGGGTGAAAGGTTCTAAGCTATTTTCTTAAAGTCTGCTGCTAACTTAAGTATTGTTGATATTTATATTACTAGTTGGGAGAGCCCTTGGGCATGGACCTAATGAGGGAATTGTATCCCTGATTATTCACACAAATGGAACACTTTATGGTTCAGGTCCTTTAAACAGTTTAGCAGAGAGCTGCATGGTTGAGGGTGAAGTGGAGGAGGGAATGAAGAGAGCAACATCTCACTAAAACCCAGAATCATCTCCATCATTTTTCTCAAAAGAGATTGTTTATTTTCTCTGGGTCAGAATTCCTAGTGTGAACTCATTTGTGACTCCTGCCAATATTATTTAAGTTGTTCTCTTCCATGTTGGGTGGGAAGAAGAGAGCAAGAGGCCTGGGTGCCGGGTGGAATGATTAATCAACTGGAAAGGCAGGCACGATTGCATTGGCTCTTCATGAACCATTTGCCTGGAGTTTGCTTTCCAGGCTTCCACTTAGATGTAGAAACCTCCTGGGTAGGAAAAAAAGTAAAGGAAAAGAAAGAGAGCAGGGAAAGGAGGGGAGAGGAGGAGGGAGGTAAAGAGGGGAGGGAAGTAATGTTCAGATGTGGTCTGTGATTCCTCTTCCTGAGAGGCCAGAAAGGGTCTTGGGCTCTGAACCAAGTAAAGCCTTACCTTCAATGTTTCCTTGTAAATCAGTCTAACTCCCTCTTTATTTTCATAGTTTGTGCCAGACACTTCTCTTGGACCACCACATTTTCCATGCTTTATATTGATAACCCAGTGAGTACCATACAACACTCTAAAATACCAGTCTGGTTTGTCTTGTCTGTTTCCTTTCAAGTAATTATAATCATGTGCTAAATAACGATATTTTGATCAATAATGGGCCATCAGATTATGTTGGAGCTGAAATGTTCCTATCATTCAGTATATTCACTATCTCTTTTCAATGTTTATGTATGGTTAGCTACACCGATGCTTACCATTGTGCTCCAGCTGCCTGCTGAACCCAGTAGTAAATGCACAGGAAATAGACTGTGCCATTTGGGTTCATGGAAGTGTATTCATCATGTTCTTACAACACGGAGCTCAGCAAGGATGTATTTCTCAGAAAGCATCTTGATCAGTAAGCCATGTGTGACTCTGTAATGCACGATTCTATTTAAAGGTGTATGACTTTGTATAACAGAGTGACTTGGAATGGTATCTGACTTTGTATACATTGTATGACTCTATTTAAAGCAATGTATGATTCTATTCTAAAAGAATAGAGATAAGTGTTGCAGTGGTTCACCCTTTATCTCACTGTGATTCCTCTTCCCTTCCCCAAGTCAGATAACTTTTTCAATCTTTTTTATATATTTTTATTGTAAAGATACTGTACAGAGTGGTTAGTTACATGAGTAAGGTAATGAGTACATTTCCTCTTGAGCATTGTTACCCCCTCCTTTGTTTTTCTCCCACAATCCCTTCTCTCCCCACCTCCCCAGCTCCTCCCCTTCCCACCAAAGTTGTAGAGTTCATTTTTAACTAGTGTCTTGTACATCTCATTAGTACAATGGGTCAGCCTTGTTTCAGCATTTTGTTATTTTCCTTCCCCTCCCCAAATTAGAAAAATGTATATTCAAGATGCAGGGTACCGGAATAAAATACAATGACAGGGGTTATACCAATAGGGAAGAACATACGAAAGAAACAAAAGAAATAACATAGTACATTATAAGTACATTAAAAACAACAGCAACAAATATAAAACCTCTTGTGTCTCTATCTTGGAGTTCATTTCTCTTAGCACCATCTTCTATGGTCATATGTGCATTGCTTTTGACCTTTTCTACTTGTCTGGTAAGGTTGTCCTAGACATATACTAGTTATTGCAAATAAGGGAAAACATGGGACCTATTTTGGGGGGTTTGGTTTACTTCACTCAGTATAATTTTTTCCAAGTCTTTCCATTTCCTAACGGGGCAGTGTCATTCTTCCTGATGGAGGCATAGAATTCCAGTGTGTGTGTGTGTGTAGTGTGTGTGTGTGTGTGTGTGTGTGTGTGTGTGTGTGTGTGTGTGTGTATCACATTTTCTTGATCCATGCATCTACTGAGGGGCATCTGGGTTGGTTCCATATATTAGCTATGGTAAATAATGCTGTGATAAATGTAGTTGTGCTGGTAGCTTTACTATGGCCTTGTTTGTGGTCGTTTGGTTAAATGCCAAAAAGTGGGATTGTGGGGTCACAAGAAAAAGGGCAATGAAATCAGAAACAGTGACCCCAGAGGGGAAAAATGAAAGATAAAAGAAATAACTGCAAACAGTACACTAAAACAAAAAGGACAAAACCACACCAAAAAACCCTCTTGTTTCCATATTGTGGAGATCATTTTGATTAGCATTATTTTATGTGGTCATATGTACTGCTAGAAATATCCTAAGCATATACTAATTATTACAAATGAGGGAAACCATGGAACTTATGTTTCTTTGAGTCTGGCTTATTTTACTTAATATGACTTTTTTCCAAGTCTTCCCATTTCCTTATGTTGGGACAATGTCATTTTTTTCTCTGATGGAAGCATAGAAGTCCATTGTGTATATATGTCATAAGACACTATGTTGGAAATGAACTTTGCAACTCGGGGATACAGGGGAGTGGGTGGGGGAGGGAAAGCAGGAGAAAATGAGGGAAGGACTAACACTGTTTGAAAAGAAATGTACTCATTATCTTACTTACAAAACGGGAACCCCACTGTACATCACCTTTATAGTAAAATTATTAAAATTATTGAAAATAGAGGCAGGGTTGTTTTCTTTTAAAAATAGGATTTATGGCTTACGCCTGTAATCCTAGCTACTCAGGAGGCTGAGATCTGAGGATCGCGGTTCAAAGCCAGCCCAGGCAGGAGAGACCGTGAGACTCCTATCTCCAATAAACCACCAGAAAACCGGAAGTGGTGCTGTAGCTCAAGTGGTAGAGCACGCGCCTTGAGCTGAGGAGCTGAGGGACAGTGCCCAGGCCCAGAGTTCAAGCCCCACGACCGACCAAAAAAAAAAAATAGAATTTAAATCCCTTTCTGAGACTTAGCTTTTCTGCTATTTTTGTCTCATCATCCTTGAGCTGGGGAATCTTCTTGGCTCTCTTCTTTTCTTTCCTCATTTTGCACCCTGTGAAATGTCCTAGTTCCTGAATTATAGCATCCAGGAGATGAGATTTGTGTTTTCACCGGTGGTCTGAGTGAAGCTATTACTTTACAGAGTATTATTTAGTATTAATATCCCTAATCTTTCACATAACATTCTAGGTTAAAAAGCCAAAGCTGAGGTCCTTTCCTTACCAAGGCAAACAGAACAGCTCATTTTGAGACAGAAAGTGATATTTTCCTTCATAAGTTTTCCCTGAAATTGATTTACAAAAGAAGAGGTGAGGGTCGTTTTGACAGGTGAAGGGTATCTTTACTTGAACTATCCTCTGACTATTTTACTTTGCATATGGTTCAAAGAGAAAACAAGTAAAAAGGAAGAAAAAACTGTCAATGTACTTGCCCTCCATCTTGATTTATCAGCTGTACAATTTTCCTAGTATATAATTACCTATTTAGGGCTGGGAAGGTGGCTCAGTGGTAGAGTGCTTGCCTTGCATGCCTGAGGCCCTGGGTTCGATTCCTCAGCACCACATAAGAAAAAAGAAAAAAGCCGGAAGTGGCACTGTGGCTCAAGTGGCAGAGTGCTAGCCTTGAGCTGAAGAGCCCAGGCCCAGAGTTCAGGCCCCATGACCAGACTGCCCCCCCCCCCCAAAAAAATTACCTATTTAAAGAAAAAGTGAATTAAGGGAAATACACTTGTAAAATTGCTATTTCACAAGGCTTACATTCCTTATCCAAATCATTCATGAAAAATCACTCAGAGCTCCTTATTTCAATTTACGTCTCAATTATCTGTGAATTTCTAGAAATATGGCACTATATCTTACAATAATCTTAGGTTCAAACTTCTTGTCTCTATGAATGAAGCAATAGTTTATAAATTGGTTTTATTGTTAAACTCTTTATTGAAGATGAAATGGTACAAGGCCATGTTTCTCACAACTAAAAGAAAGAAAGAAGAAGAAAGCCACACACAAATATCTTTTATATCCAGTCTAGAGACAGAGCTATACACCCAGAGGTTTCAAAACCCAAGACCAGGGAAGACAATTTTTTCTTCCTCACAGGAGGATGCTAAAAACACCTGAGGTGATGGAAAAGCCCAATGTCTTCAGAATAAATGAGGTTACTTCTCAGTGTGTGCTTTCACCGAAGCCCTACCAGGCATGTATGTCTCTGTGCTGACACTTACTCATTGATTTCCTTTCAGGTGGGCACAGGTTTCAGTTTTACTGATAATATCCATGGATATGCTGTCAGTGAGGATGATGTGGCACGAGACTTGTACAGGTAAAGGGCTTCGCTTTCTCCTGGTCTGTTCAGAATAACCATTTTCTATCTCTATACTTTTAGGAAAGTTCTTCTACTGGTAGCATTATGCATAATTAGTCTTCTTTATTTTTTGTCAGTAATGAGGCTTGAACTCAGGGCCTGAGCTTTTTTGCTCAAGGCTAGCCCTCTACCACTTTGGGCCACAACACTACTTCCTGTTTTCTAGTGATTAATTGGAGAGAAGAGTCTAGTGGACTTTCCTGCCTGGGCTGGCTTTGAACCATGATCTTCAGATCTCAATTTCCAGCGAAGCTAGGATTGCAGCCATGAGCCACTAGTGCCCAGCAATGATTGGTCTTTATTATCCAAAAGTTTTAAAAAGTATTTTGACACGAGGATCACACACACACACACACACACACACACACACACACACACACACACACACAGAGCGTCTCTTCTCTACTTTGTTCTTATTATTGATAATTATGTGAGTGACCAGCAAAGAAAGCAACAAGATTTTAAGGCAAAATTATAATGTTTGTCCTTTAAGAGACAATAAAGGCCCAATGGAATTTTTCGACCAAGATTATTTTTCAAACCTTTCAACCAGATGCTCTGTAGTTTTCTCCTGTTTTCCAAACTTCTGTTTGTCTTTGCTTTCCAGTAGACAGCATCTTTCCAGACATCTACTTGTCTTCTTTTCTAGGACTGTCAGTGCTGTGGCTTTCAGAGACAACTTCCCATTCTCTAGCTTTGCGTTCATCACATTTTCCAGGTTGAAAAAAGCTTATGAGCTAGTCCTTCTCTCATTCTCTCCTTCATCTTATAAAACTTTCTTTTTGCCTAAGAAAAAAGAAAAAGATATACAACTTGATTGAGCAGGGTGTACATAATTTCTTCTTTTTCTTACATCCATTATAGCTATTTCTGGAACAGTCTTAAAAATAAGTTGACCTGTGTTATTTGGTCACATTTTTCTAGTCTATAAATTGCTACTAAAGATCAAGTCCTGGATTCCTTCTGATTGCTGGGATACCACTTGTTTCAGTATCATGAAAGAACTTTATTGGCCAGGAGGAATTAACCAGCTCCCCCTACCCCCAGCCACCCAGCTCCCTTTCGGCTAATAACTCACCTCATGAGCAAACTCAGGAGCCAATCTTAAAAGGAAAGTGCATTTGATAGGAGTCAGGGATTTCTCATCTCTGACAAAACTTTCCCCTTTGCTCTTTGTTTCTTGAAGGAGAGTAGAGCAAATTGATGGCTGGGGGAGGTGTGGGGAGAGGAAGGAGGAATTTCCAGACTACTATTTCTCCAAAGAGATCTCGTTTCCTATGCTGACTTAGAAAATAATATGTTATACCTTGTGGATTGTGTGTGTGTATATGTGCGTGTATGCACACACACCCCAGCAATGGGCCTGAACGCTGTCCCTTACCTTTTTTTCCACTCAAGACTAGAGCTAGCTGGGCACCAGTGGCTCACGCCTGTAATCCTAGCTACTCTGGAGGCTGAGATCTGAAGATCATGGTTCAAAGCCAGCCCAGGCAGGAAAGCCCATGAACCTCTTATCTTCAATTAACCACCAGAAAAGCAGAAGTGTCACTGTAGCTCAAGTGGTAGAGCGCTTGCCTTGAGATGAAGAGCTCAGGGACAGCACCCAGGCCTGGAGTTCAAGCCCCACCACTGACAAAACAAACAAAAAACAACTAAAATTCTACTATTTGAGCCATACCTCCATTTTAACTTTTATGGAATTTCCTGACCAGACTGGCTTCAAACCATGATCTTCAAATCCCAGCCTCCTTAGTAGCAAGGACTACAAGCCTGAGCCACCAGCACCTGCAGTGTTTTATGCTTTTGATATTTACATTCAGTCCTTGTAAGGGATGTCAGGTCCCCATACCCCTGTGCTCTGGTACAGTGGATCCTGGGGACATGTTAGCTGATCCTCATTCTTACGGAGGATCCTTTTCCTCCATCTTAGCTCACAGACATGATTGTGATGTCCTAAGAAGTTTACTTGAGAGTTGTCTCTCACTTAGCACTATTTGCTGTCAGTCTTCCAATAGAAAACCTTCCCCAACTTTCACCCCACCACATATACCAACCCTCTCTTCTGGCTTAAATCCAAACAAGCTCAGTTATTTAACTAGCAAACACCCGGAAGGCAGAATTTCTGTACTAAAGAAATACATCAATCCCCTATAAGACAGAGCACAGAAAAGCCTCCGTCCTTCCCCTCCCCAAAAGATGCTTCCAGCTTCTAATTGCCCCTCAGTGTGGATATTTACGGCTGACATTGGTACATCTCCTCTTACAAGACATGTAAAGGGAACCTATTTCAAAGCATCCATTGTTTATAACTGTTTTAGTTCTTTTTTTTTTGCTCCAGGCTCTTAGAACTGGAAAATAGCTAATCAAGAGTAGTGCACAAAACTGATTTCAGCTGTTTCCTTTATGGTTTACACTCTTCGTTTCCTTTTGTGACAGCATTCTTCTCTCTGGCTTTCCAGATGGGTGTCTGGAACGAGAAGGTCTCTTTGAAATGTATAAATGGGCTACTGCAAGTTTAAAGAGTAGACCTTTCTTCTTCTCCCTCTGAAATCCGTCTCTCCTTATTTGTTCTGAAAATCCTATTCCTTTTTCCTATTAATAGTGCCTGGCTGCAAGAAATAGCCTCCTAGAGAACAATTTAGCATTTGCATTTAAGCTGTGTGTGTGTGCTCAATAATACATTTTTTCACTAGCAAGATGTTAAATTTTGTTTCGTTTCTCCCTATTTAATGTATGCTAGTGAGCCACCACATCTCCCTAGAAAATAATACTAAAACATAATAAATGTACTAACTTCAGTTTGGATATCATGGCTGATGCTATGCCCCACCAGTGGGTACACACTGAGCTAGACACTGTTCCTGATGCTGGTGGTATAGCAGTCCACAGCTCAGCCAGCCTACAGCCCCTGCTAACCTGGCCCTGGCAGAGTCCAGTGGTGCGTTTGAACTTGTCTTCTCAGAGCCTAATGGAGGTGCTGCTACTGTTCATCTCCATGTTGGCTGGTGACCAGAACACTCTGATTGTTCAGACTTATCTGCCCACCAATGCAACTTGCATTGCGTGAGAGGACCCTGGGACCACATGGTGATGAGAGAGCCATGGCACAGCTCCCTGGGAGGTGGAACAAATGCAAAGAGGCCCTGCTCCAACATCACCAGACCACTCAGATTCTTGTTGCCAATGTGTTTCAGCCGCCATGAGGAGCTGTAGCCACACCTGCTTGGCTTTCATTTGGATGTGTGTCAAAATACCAGGGAAAAATCACGTTAAAGGAGGAAAGATTTCTTTTGGCTCATACATCAGAGGTGTCAGTCTGCGATCACTTGGCTCCTAAGTCTCTAGACACAATGGGGGTGCGTAGAGGAACAAAGCTGCCATATAATGGCATCCAGGGAAAGTTTCTACTACTTCCCAATAGCCCCGTAAGCTATGAATTCATAAATGAGGTTGAAGCCCTCATGATCCTTCACCTCCCAGAGGCCCCAGCTCTGACCACTGCTTCACTGGGGACCAAGCCTCCAGCAAAAGAGCCGAAGGAGACAGTTAAGCCCCAACCATGAGGAGATGAATAAGGCTTGGAGAGATGTGGGAAAATGCTGAAGGGAGTGACATTGATCATGATGCATTGTACTCATAAACTGGCATGTTGAATTGAACCCTCTTTAAACGACTACTTAAGGATAATACAAATTTAAAGTAGAAAAATTAAAGATTCAAACCATAACCGTAGCCTTGATCTTCCTGCATATCATTTTGCTTTCCTCCATCAGAACTGACCAGCTTCCAGCACTATTTAAAATACAGTTAATTGGCCAGGTGTTATAACGTACTAAATTTGCCATTTTCATTTTAAAATATATCATTTTACCATTTTCATTTTTATTCCCAGGCTGTGTTGAAATAAAAAAATTCAGTTGAAATTATTTATCTGTGAAATTAAAACTCTGACAATATCCTCAAGTAGACTTTTTTCTGAAAAGTTTAGTTAGGGAAGCCTGGCATTTTTGAGCCTGAAGAAACCTTCTATTTAAATTATCTTCTATTTCAATTATCAGATAAATCAGAGAATGCAGGGTTAGTGGTGGCTCATGCCTGTAATCTTAGCTAGTCAGAAGACTTGAGGCCTGTAGGATCACCACTTGAAGTCAACTAGGGCAGAAAAATCCATCTCTAGTTACTCAGAAAAACACTAAACCTGAAGCTTAGCTGAAGTAGTAAAATGTCATCCAAGCAAACAACACACACACACACACACACACACACACACACACACACACACACACACACACACACACACACACACAAACTCACACACACAAAGAATACCCCATTAAAGTTGAATATCAGATAAGCAATAAATATTTTCTTAAATGTATGTATGTTCTAAGAAATATTTTGACATACTTATACCAGGACATTGTCTATTGTCCCGGTATAAGTATGTCTATTACTGTATATCCAATTAAATTGTACACCTTTTATTTTTACTTGTTAAACCTGTCAACCCTAATAACTCTCCAACTCATACTGTAAGCAAGTAAGTTGTAAGGTAAAGCATAAAGCTTAATTGAAATTTACTAACTTAAATTACGTGGTACCATTCTAAAAAGCAGGGAGAGAGAAAGGGACGTATTTTTTTGTCTGAAGATGGAGAGGAAAGGGTGGAGAATAAACTCCTATTTTTATCTCTGCTCTAAAGGCAGCTTATTGCCAGAGCTAACAGGGAAGCTATAAAATGCGACTTTCAAATTTAGTTGCTATAATAAATAGTTGCTACTATAAATAATAAATAGAAGAGTGCACCCAAACTCTAGAGTAGGGTTTCATCGTGAGTTTTTATAGAGGCTTTGAAAATTAAGTACATCCAAGATCATAGTGGGTATAATGATCCAATTTTGCCTCTCTGCAACCCTTGAACTCTCTCCCTTTCCTGAATTTTCAGAAACTTCTTTCTCTTCATCTTCCTTGGATGCTTTGTAGCTTTGTTCTCTTGGTGGAAGCTGCTAAAAAAAAGAAAAAAACTCCTAAGTTTCTTAGACATGGTAGTCCAGGTCAACACCTGATTTTTACCAGTTTTTGTCTTCCTTTTGGAAAGATTTTGGTCGATTTTGGTCAAGTAGGGAATCATTCAAAGTCTTCTTTTTTATTATTATGAAATAATTCCTGAGTCTGTTGACCTCTATTTCAGCATAACTAACAGAAGTGGCTGTTGACATTTTTTTAAAGTAAATGTGATTTTTTTCTTTTTGAGCACAGAGGCTACTGTACATTTATTTCGGTATTGGTGGTCATTTTCTAGATTCACATTAGACTGTAGTCATTTTGCAGCTTTTCAGTTCTTATTAGAACCCTGACATTCTGGAAACTCTATTAGAAACACTCAAGAGCGCCTTACCCTAATGGTTGGTAAGCAACTAAAACTCCCTTGTCTTCTTCATAAAGCTGGGTCAGTGGGGTCATAAGATTTGCATAAAAATCGCTAAATAGTAGGTGAATTGATGGTTCCTTCCACAGCTACATAATCCAAAATGGTAACTCCCAGATTTGGAAATGTGCCCAGAGTGTTGATGTTCACTATTAAGCTTAATAGCACAGAGTTAGCCTGTGCATGTTTTCTAACTGTCTACTTTAAAAAGAATACCCTATTGGAGCTCACAGGAGAATGATGTATTTCCAGTATGAAACCTTGGGAGCATAGCATGAAATGGTTCTGATTCATTTTCTGATTCATTTTTATTGTTCTTTTTTATAGTGCACTAACTCAGTTTTTCCAGTTGTTTCCTGAGTACAGAAACAATGATTTCTATGCCACTGGAGAGGTAAGTTGATACCATGTTTTCTTGAGGGCTTCAAATACCATCAAGACTGAAATATATTCTGACAATTGCAGCTTATTTAAAAATATATGCACGTATAAATAGATATATGTATGTGTATATTAATATTGTTAATACTCATATGTTATCCATTATATTATACATAGATTATCTACTTGCGTTGGTATTGCAGTTTTAATACAGGGCCTCAAACTCTTGCTTGGCCTTTTCACTCAATGCTAGCGTTCTCCATCTCCACTTCTGGATTTTGCTGATCAATTGGAGATAAGCATCTCACAGACTTTACAGCATGTTCTGGCTCTGAACCTCAATCCTCAGGTCTTTGCCTCCTGAGAAGACAGAATTACAGAGCCAATGTCTAGCTTTCTATGTTAATACTGATTCAGCCTATATCAAGAATTACCCAGTTAGCTGATAGGAGTCAGGGTTTTCTCATCTCTGATAAAACTTTCCCCTTTACTCTTTGTTTCTTGAAGGAGAGTAGAGCAGATTGATGGCTGGGGGAGGTGTGGGGAGAGAAAGGAGGAATTTCCAGACTACTATTTCTCCAAAGACATCTCATTTCCTATGTTGATTTAGAAAATAATATGTTATATCTTGTGGGTTGTGTGTGTGTGTGTGTGTGTGTGTGTGTGTGTGTGTGTGTGTGTGTGTGCATTTATGCACACACACCCCAGCAATGGGGCTTGAACTCAGAGCCTGGACACTGTCCGTTACCATCTTTTCCACTCAAGACTAGAGCTAGCTGGACACCAGTGGCTCACGCCTGTAATACTAGCTACTAGGAGATTGAGATCTGAGGATCTCGGTTCAAAGCCAGCTCAGGCACGAAAGTCTGTGAGACTCTTATCTCCAATAAAGCGCTCAGAAAACCAGAAGTGGCTCTGTGGCTCAAGTGGTAGAGCTCTAGCCTTTCCCTCTAGAGCTGAGGGAAAGTGCCCAGGCCCAGAGTTCAAGCACCATGACTGACTAAATAAATAAATATTACCCATGTATTCCCCCAAATGTCCTGTATGACATAATTTTTAATCCTCTGCTCAACAGAATATCACATGTTAAGACAAGCACAGCAAGGTTGCTTGTGTCAATCCTTTTGTCTTTTACAGATTTTTTTTTAAGCAGTGCTGACAATCGAACCTAGGTCCTCATGCATGCTAGGCAGGGCACTGTCACTGAACTATATATACCCCAGCACAGTCATGTGCGTTTTTGTTGTTGACATTTACAAAGACATTGGGAAAGCCAAGAACAAATACCTTGAAGAATGTTCCAAATTCTGAGTTTGTCTGATTCTCCTCAGTACTTAGATTAAGGGAAAACATTTCCCAAGAATACTATATAAATGAAATATATTTTTTGTGACATCTTTTTTTCTTTTTTGCCAGTCAGGGCTTGAACTCAGGTCCTTGAGCTCTTTTGCTCAAGGCTTGTACTCTACTACTTTGAGCCACAACTCTACTTGTGGTTTTCTGCTGGTTAATTTGAGATAAGAGTCTCACGGACTTTCCTGCCTGGGCTGGCTTCATACTGTGATCTTCAGATCGCAGCCTCCTGAATGGCTAGGATTACAGGTGTGAGCTACCAGCACCTGGCTTTCCCTAGCATCTTGGTATGGACATCCACATCCTCTCAGTTTGCCTTTTTATGACAAAACTAAGCTCAATCACCTGAAGGTTGTATCTTCTAGATCTCACCATTATAACCATATCTATTTTGTTAGCAATTAATAGATAAGACCATTTGAGTATCTTTACTATCCAATTTTAAGTCCCAGTGCTTTTAGAACCATTAATTTTCCTGCCTGAACCTGTAATTGCCCTGAAGGTTATACAATGATACTGTTTCTAATCTTGTTTATCTATATTATCTAGCTTTCTGTAGAGAAAATTTCCCCTTCATTTATTGTCTTCATTTGATTATAAAAATAAACTGCAGACTCAAGCATTTTCATATTTTCTTCCTTCCTTCCTTTGCTTCTTTTCTTCTGTCTTTCTCTTTTTCTTCCTTTTTTCTTTTGTTCTTTCTTTCTTTTGGGAGGTGGCACTGGAGTTTGAACACATGGGCTTGTGTTTTGTTCTGTTTGCTTGTTTGCACTGCTGTCAATCTATCACTGAAGCCATGCTTCCAGCCTGGCTTTTTGTTGGCTATTTTTCAGATAGAATCTAGTGAACTCTTCTGCTTGGGCAGGCTTTCAATTTTTATATACTAATTTTGGTCAATAGTCCTTCAAGCTGGGTCCTCTTTCCTTTATTCCTGAACCATTTAGGTTTTGAACATCTTTCTTTCTTTCTTTCTTTTTCTTTCTTTCTTTCTTTTCTTTCTCTTTCTTTCTCTCTCTCTTTCTTTTCTTTCTTTCTCTCTCTTTCTTTTCTTTCTCTCTCTCTCTCTTTCTTTCTTTCTCTCTCTCTCTCTTTCTTTCTTTCTTTTGGTAAGCATATGTATTCCAGAAACATCTTGTTCTCTCCCTGCCCTAGGTCTGGTATTCGTCATCTTTTGAAGAAATCCCAACTCCTTGTAATGAGGGATATTTAAAGTCCAAGTCTTAAGCACTAAGTGCATTCATTGCTACTGGGAGGTCATTTATTTTAGATATGGGCAGAGCAAAGAAACAAAATGACCTCATGCTGATACCCATAATTGAAATTCCTCTCTCTTCCTTCTCCATTGTACATTTGTAGATTCCATCTCCTGCATCAAGGACCATGGTTCCCAAGAGTATCCTGTTTACTCTCTTTCTCAATAACCCAATGGTTTCAGAATTAGTACAGCAGTACTATGGTCCTCAATAAATCAACTTCCCTCCCTCCCTTCCTGCCTTCCTCCCTCCCTCCCTCCCTTCCTTCCTTCCTCCCTTCCTCCCTCCCTCCCTGCCTCCCTGCCTTCCTGCCTTCCTCCCTCCCTCCCTTCCTTCCTTCCTTCCTCCCTCCCTCCCTCCCTCCCTCCTGCCTCCCTGCCTCCCTGCCTCCCTGCCTCCCTGCCTTCCTGCCTTCCTCCCTACCTGCCTGTGTGCCTTCCTTCCTGCTTGCCTGCCTTCTTGCCCTCCTGCCTCCTTTATCTGTATGGAAGACCCTCAACAGATGCCCTATACCTCAAAGAATATTAAGCCCCCCTCGTTCTCTCCTGCCCTTTCCTGTATTTATTTATTCATTCAATTTTATTTATTTAGCTTACATTGGCTATAGAGGGAAGGGATTTCATTGTTATGTTCACACATGTTTATAATATATTCCAATCAATCTCACCCTCTCTATCACTCTCCCTTCCCTCCTAACCTTCTTCTAAAACAAGTTCTGTTGTTCTGTTTTTATAGTTGCAAACAATGTACTTTGACTTCATTCTTCCCCATCCTCCTTGTTATCACAACCCCCTACTACTAGTACGCATTCCCTAACAGGCCAAATTTCTTTCAGCATGACTTTGTCTCTCAAGCTCACCTGATCTGTCTCCTTGGCTTTGAGCTTCCTCGTTTCATTCTGATTAGTTCTTTCCATTTGGAGACATTGTCTTTCCTTCAGTTTCTTATTCCCAGTAAATCATCTGTTATTCAAGAATTATTCAAGAATCAACAACTAGGCTATTTTGGTGGGAGTATAAACTTGTTCAACCACTTTGGAAAGTAGTCTGGAATTTCCTCAAAAGACTCCACATATTGCTCCCCTATAACCCAGCAATCCCAGTTTTGGGCATTTACCCGAATGATCACAAAGAAGACCATACTAAAGCTACCAGCACTACTATGATTATTGCAGCATTATTTACCATAGCTAAGATATGGAACCAACCCAGATGCCCCTCAGTAGATGAATGGATCAAGAAAATGTGATATATATACACAATGTAATTCTATGCCTCCATTAGAAAGAATGACATTGACCCATTTGTTAGCAAATGGAAAGACTTGGAAAAAATTATGTTAAGTGAAGTAAGCCAGGCCCAAAGAAACATAGGTCCCATGGCTTCCCTTATTTGCAATATCTAGTATATGTCTGAGTCAAGCAGAAAAGCTCAGATAAGGTGATGTTAGGCAAAATGAACCCCAAGATAATGATTCAAATGGTTTTTCTTTCTTGCTATTGATTCTGACATATTTATAAGATGATTTCTTTGTTGTTTTGTATGTCCTTCCCCCACAGTATAACCCCCATTTTCACTGTATTTGATGTTGGTATAATTTGGGGAAGGAGAGGGAAAAACACATTGTTTAAATAGGGATACAGGTGGACCCATTGCAACAATGAGATGTACAAGTCATTATGTCAAAAAACGAACTTTACAATTTTGCAAAGGCGTAGGGCGCATTTTTTAGGAAAGGGAAAGACTTGGAAAAAATTATATTAAGTGAAGTAAGCCAGGCCCAAAGAAATTTAGGTCTCATGGTTTCCCATATTTGCAATAACTAGTATATGTCTGAGTCAAGCAGGAAAGGTCAGATAAGTTGATGTTAGGGGAATGAACACTAAGATATGTATTCAAATGTTATTTTTCTTTCATACAATTGTTTCTAACATATTTATAAGATGATTTCTATGTTGCTTTGTATGTCCCTCCCCCACGGTATAACCCCTGCTTTCACTGTATTTGATGTTGGTATAATTTGTGGAGGGGAAGGGCAAAAACAAATCCTTTAACTAGGGTTACAGGTGGCTCCATTGCAACAATGAGATGTACAAGTCGTTATGTCGAAAAACAAACTATACAACTTTGGTGGGGGGGGGGGGAGGATCAGGTGGTGGAGGTGGGGGGAGTATGGAAAGGGAGGGGAAGGGGAAACAAAGAGGAAACAACAATGCTTGATAGGAAATGTACACATTATCTTGCCCATGTAATTGTAACCCCTCTGTACAGTATTCTCACAATTTAAAAAAATGAACTAGTTAAAAAAAAGGGGGGGTGGGGCGCTGGGTGGGGGGGTGGGGGGGAAGGTGGAAGGGAGATGGGAAGGGGAAACAAAGGAGGGAGCAACAATGCTTGATAAGATATGT